TTTTAATTTGGTTTTAGAGGGGTTTTTATTTTTATTGATATGTATATCTGTTTTAATATGCTGTGCACCGCCCTGAGTCCTGCGGGAGAAGGGCGGTATAGAAATTAAAATAATAATAATAATAATAATAATAAACAAGTCAAAAAATAAATGCCACACAAATAATTTATTTGCTTATTTATATTTCTCATTTCTGAACTGCCCATATCCCACAAAGTTGCTGTATAAAGGGTAAAATTAGAAGGGCAATTTGGACAGACCCCTTTCCCCAGCCTCAAATAGGAAAATGTATGCAAGTGAATATTTTATTATATTTGGGGTTTTTTAGAGCTCTTTTCTAAACTTAATCTTAGCCTTCTGAATAAAGTTGGCATAGAGTTCTTTTATATAACCTTCAACAATAGAGAGTTTTAAGATCTCTATGGCAATCCCCAAATTATTTTGTTTGTTTGTTATTTACTTAATCAATTTATGTGGCTGATCTCTTGCCAAATGACTCTAGGTTGCCAGCAAGGATTAAGAGTTAACAACATCCAGATTGAAATGTCTATGGAGATTCTCAGTCATCCAGGTCATAGTTATCCCAAAAATGCTTTTTTCACAAGGCAACTGGACTTTCTTGTTTTCTTTGAAGATGTTTCACTTCTCATCCAAGAAACTTCTTCAGCTCTGACTGGATGGTGGGGAATGGCAGGATTTATACTCCTTGCAGACAGCTGATCATTTGCATTCTTTTAGCAAGAAGAAAGAATGCTAAAAGAATGCAAATGACCAGCTGTCTGCAAGGAATATACATCTTTCCGTTCCCCATCATCCAGTCAGAGCTGAAGAAGCTTCTTGGATGAGAAGCGAAACGTCTTCAAAGAAAAATAAGTCCAGTTGCCTCATGAAAAAGCATCTTTGGGATCCAGAAAGAAAGTGGCAAAATAATAAAAGATAATAAGGTAAAATGTACTGTATCAGGGCTAGGCACATGACTCATACCCTTCTGAACATATTAGGCACATTATCTGGGCTACTGTTTTGAACATTGGGTATTTGAAACATTTAAAAATGTTTAGGTACAATTTTTTGAAACTCACCTATCATTCTGCAATAAGCAGCAGCAATAAAAACAATATTTTTCTGGATGTGCTGCTCTTCCCCACCCAGCCATGACCAAGATGCCACCCCTTATCAGAAATTAGCCTTATTCCCAAAGAAAAAAACAGGTTAGATAGGATGAGGCCAAATTCTTGGGAAATGATTTTGGGGAGATCTTCCTTTGACTATAAAATTGATTTTTAAATCAAGCAACCTCACTTTAACTTGCCATGTTTAAGTTGCTGGATTTGTACAGGGCAATTTGGCTACTGAATAAACTTTTTTTTTTTATTTTGCCCAAAATACATTGAACTATTTAAATATCCTGGATTCATACTCTTAGTTACCAAAACATACACAAACAAACCCAAACTAACTAAGCTTAGAATGTTTTATGAATATAACCCAACTGACTTAGTAAAATATATTGTGTGGCCATAACAGCAAGTGGTATTAGTTTTCAGACTCTGACTGAAAAATAAACTAAAACAGACTAAAGCAGTGAAGGTTTATTTTAGTGCAATGCTGACTATCCCTTCTCTTGAGCTGAAGCTTAGCTGGTGCAACAAAACGATTACCAGTATAAAACAGACAATCGAGATAGTTTCATATTTTGGTGCTAAATAAATTGGCCTAAAACCAAAATGCTTACTTTATGTATAGATTAAATAAAATTGGGTTAGAAGGAAAGAAGTTTCTTTTGCATTCTTGCAAAAAACAAGCTTAGCTAAAAATACTGAAGAAACCAAAAATTAGGTTTGGCAGAGTCCTCTCCTTTTTTAATATTCTGTATGGAATGCTTGATGATATTGAAATCTGCCAAGATGTCCACGAGGGCCAGGATGGACTCACCACCCCTATCCCAAGCTCTCCAGAGGTTATCCATGAATAAGATCAGCACCTTCTCAGTACTATATCCCAGCCTCAATGGCAAATGAAAAAGATCCACATAATCCCTTTTCTATCCTTATTGGATTTAAGCTAAACATACTTGATCATCAAAATGTAAATCACCGACAAAACAATAAATGATAAGCAATACATTAGTACTAGAATTCTGCATCCAATTTGCTTCTTAAGTAGAATGGTGTTTTAGATATGTTAGCAGCCTCCCTCACGTTAGCCATTCTTCTGAAGAAGGAATTAAAGTATTTTTTCAGTAGAAAGCATATAGAATTTATGCAGCCATTGATATATACAGTACAATGTATTTTGAAGGGATATATATGGTTTAGAAAAACATTAATAAGAATATCTTGGTTGTAATGGAATTACAGCCATCAAATTACAGCCATCCTTTCTACTATGAAGCCTTTTTCAGAATTGTTGACCTTTACAACATTGCCGCCACATATGAAAAAAGATTCTAACCTTATAATTACATTTCCTACAGTTTTAGGAAATAGAATTATTCAGTTTAGTGATCAAGAGTGGAGTAACATAGTAAAACATCTTATGCCAATTTTCTCTAGGTAATAATATTCCAAATAAATCTGATGTTCTTCCTTTAGAATTCCCAGGGTTCCATCTCAATAACTATATTCAAATTCTGCCTCCATTTAATCATACAATTCTTGTTTCATTATTTTTTTTGATAAATATTACGTAAACTGTCAAAGCTGAAGAAGTGCATAAGTTCAAGCTGTTGATTGGGCCACTGAAGAGACTCATGGAGATGGAAACCAATCAGGTTCAGAAGTGTTCACAGAGGATCTGCCTATTATCAAAAGGACAAAAGCACCATTTTCTGGGAGCACGGCCCCTTTTGAATAAAAAGGGCGGAGCTTGTGTTGCATTGCTTATTTGCTCTTTTAGACTTTACTATTTATAGTACAGTGAGTATGTTTTCTTGGAAAAAATAAAGAACAGATGTGAAAAAAGAGGCAAATCTGAAAGAGATTCATAGGGAAAAGATTAATTGTTTATGTTTATATTTTTGTTATATAAAGGAAAAATCAAGAGCAAAATAAAAAAAAACTTTACAAAAATGGCTATTGTAATAAAAATATCTAAAATCAACCAATATACAGTATGTAAATTTATTTTATTAAAAATATTCAGTTTTCATATTTTTTACATGAATGTGAAACACTGAGCATTAAATATCTTTGGTATAGTAAAAGTCAATTAACCAAAATAGAGGACAAAAGTGAGTTTTTGAAAAAATAAATCTAAAGGATGGCTTTCTGAAATAAAGGACTGTCTTTTATAATAAAGGACATGTCACTGTAATTTATTGTTATTTTTTATTCTCTAAGTCTTGTTTTATACATTTAATACATCATGCATGGCTAAGATGAAATTCTGTCTTTGTGCATTTCTATATAACTTCCCTGTGTACTTGGATATTAAATATAATATGCTGTATAGCAGTGGTGGCGAACCTATGGCACGAGTGCCAGAGGCGGCACTCAGAGCCCTCTCTGTGGGCACGCGCGTCGTCGTCCCAGTCCTAGGCCTTCAGCTAGGTTTTATAAAATCTTTTCGCTTTAGGCCTCCGCCGCCGTGTGCAAAAAAAAAAAAAAAAAAGGTTCAATCAGCCAACTTCAACTTCTCGCGGGAAAAAAAAATCTTGCAAAGATCTTGGAATTGATTGAACTTTTTAGTCCCACCCAGTCTGCCGTTACCACCACAGCCATGCCCACCCAATGGGCCACGGCCACCCAATGGGCCACACCCACCCGGCACTTGACGATGCATAAGTGAGTTTTGGGTTGCAGTTTGAGCACTCAGTCTATAAAAAGTTCGCCATCACTGCTGTATAGGATGTACATTGTATCCTGGGTTATTTTGTGGATTTGGAACGCATAGGCCGTGTGCGCCCCAATGGTTGGGGAGGGAGGGGGGAGGAGTAGGAGTCCGGAATTCTCCATTGCAGGCCCAGATTTAGCATCAATACAAAGGATTTTGTTCCAAGCAGGGCTTTGGGCCTACAGCTCTCGCCATTGAGCACAAAGGAGTGTTTCTGGGGCAACCTATCTCTCTTGGCAGCATGGGCCTACTCTTCTGATGCATTTGCCTGGGGGAAGTGGAGAGGGATGAGCTCCACTCTTCGAACTGGCATCGCAGGGGTATTCTGGGCCTGAGGGAAGAGCTTTAGTAAAGTCTTCCAGTTTCTCTCCTTCCTAAGATGACATTTCAAGTGACAGAGTGCCATATTTAAGTGAGATGTGTATGTTAATCTGATGCATTAATTCTCTAGCATTCTGTACCTTGGTGCTTTATTTTCAGCCAATTAGGCCCAATATTTCTGGAAAACGTAAGGTTAGGGAAGAAGGAACTTAGTGAGATTGACATGCTTAAAAGTCTTGCCAACATTGAATAACAGAATAACAGAGATTGAAGGGACCTTGGAGGTCTTCTAGTCAAACCTCCCACTCAGGCAGGAAACCCTGTACCATTTCAGACAAATGGTTGTCCAATCTCTGCTTAAAAACTTCCAGTGTTGAAGTTGTTGGAGTGTGCATTGCTCCGGGTTTAAAGATGATGACACTTAAGACTCTCTGTTGCATTGCTACATTGCCAGTAATGATTTAAGGAAGGTTTTGCAGATATTGGCAGGATGGAGAATTTGACTGATTTGAATAGCCAGGTGCCTACAGGTCATATTATAATTGGACCTTTATGCAGAAGGGCTCTGTGCCTGACTTTTGGAAAGTAAGGGTACTCAACTGGGGATTTATCCCATTAATATGAGAATATGTGAGAACAGGCTTTCATTTTAGTTGAACTTTTGATGCCATTTTTCCATCTTGCAGCAGCTTCTAGGACAGCTCCCAGAATTCTGATTAAAGTAGTCTGACTAGAGTCTTCTCTCCTTTGTTGTCATTACAATAAATCTGGATCGGTGCACAACATCTAAAAAATAGTTGGGTGAATGCATAGCAATCTCACACCTCTTCTCATTTCTGTCACAGGGGAGTATGTAGAGGGGGTCAGTGACCAAGATGTGCTTCTCATCCACTCCTGTCGTCAGTGGACTACAGTGACGGCCCACAGCTTGGAGGAAGGACATTATGTCATTGGCCCCAAGATTGACATCCCCCTCCAATATCCAGGTAACAAAATGGTGAGAATTCAATGAAGCGCATACTTGAAAAGAAATAGTGGAAAAGGGTTAGACAGCAAACTCTTAGATTTTTGTACAGATACTCTGATAGCTGTCCTAATTTCTTGAATGTCTCTGCTTAGGGTTAGTTTCTTTTTTTACTTTCCTTCTGATCAGTAGTGATGTACCTTTTCTGAAACCTTGATGCATCAATCACATTGTCTGGGATGATAAACTATAAAGGGAAAAAGATAGATCCTTGACTCACAAGCTTATAAAATGAAGTTGGGAGAAATGGATAAGAGAAGATCTGGATTTCTTTTTATGGATCCATGCCTAAAAGAAATAGAGCTTTAGGATATAGATTAGTAGAAATTCCTGCACTGTTGAATAAGCAAAGTATCAGCCAGGAAAGTTCAAAAAAATATAGGAACACTTCTGATCAATCCAATGGCTTTATATTATTTTCAGATTAGAGGGATTGCTTATCGTTTGCCCTCCAAGGCAAAATGGCATGATGAAACTGTGTTATCTTATTTTGATAAATGTATAAGGGGGTTAGGATACTTTTTAGTTGTGCTTAGCATCTTATAATGATGAGTGTTGGGTTAAAAAAAAGATAACTTTTTTTCCTTTTTTTCTACACATTCCAGTTCCTCTCATGGTTTTGTTGCATATAGATTTTTCATCAGATAGGATCTCATGAGCTTCCCATTCCAACTGTTATGGTTTTTTATTTATGGAATCCTTGGTGGTCTCTGAGCTTAGTTGTTTTCTTGCAGATGTTTGGTTACCTGGCTAGGTAACAACTTCAGTGTTTTTAAATCTTTCTTCTAATGGGGAAAAATAATAAGCAGTTTTATAAGATCTCCTTCTAGTAGAATATAACAAGATCTACTCTTTCTGATTGTTTGTAGTGAGGTCTTTTAGGTAAATATGCACACAGCAAGATTTACACCCAGTGTGAGCCATTGTTGACAAAGGAGCTACATAACGTGTTGGCTAAAATAGAGTAGCTTAATAAACTCTACATTGTCATCTTCTATCAGTATTTCCTGACAGGGTTTCAGAGGATGAAATAATTTCCTGATATTAGAGAGTGAAAGGAGCAGATGCAGTTTGTAAAGCAAACGGAGAAGGATCAGCTATGTGCTATTAGCCATATCTCAGGCTAGACTTTTCATAATAAATAGATCAGCAAGAATCAGGACTTCTAATTAGTAAGCTCAGGGGGAAAAACTCAAAATATTAAATTTGTTGCAAATTGTTCTAGTGAGTAGATGGGTGAATGATATTTTTCTGTTTTCTATAAAAATTGTAATGGGAATGGAGATCTATATTGTATATACTAGGTTTATACTTAATTTCGTTGTGTGTTACACAGTGACAATAAAGATATTCTATTCTATTCTATTACACCATTAGACTGAGAGCTCCAAAATGTGCCAATCCATTCTGTTGCCTCCCCTTTTGTTTTTTATTCAGAAAGAAAAGGGAGTCTCCCAGCTTCATTTGGAAAATCTTGTTTTTTCTAAAGGGCTTTAGTGGGCCTGGTTTGTTTTCATTTATGGCCTTATTTTTGCCAGGTTTTTTCCTTGTCTAATTTCTACCATGCTCAGCCTCTCAATCTGTACTGCATATGAGGAATCTGTGACCCTCCAAATGTTGAACTACAGCTCCCAACTACTCTAGCCAATAGTTGGACTTTAAGTTAATAGTATCAAGTATCCTCACTCTTAGTCTAGGTTTAGTTGCAAACATTCTTGGGCACTGTGGTCCTGGACTTGCTAATGCTTCTCCATCTTGCCTGCGTTCTAAGGTATAGAAAGAGAGTACCAGTGACCTGCCTCAGAAAATATGGTGAAGGCGAATGTTAAATGAAAACAGGGCATGGTTTGCAGGAGGATGGTGCCTCCAGATCGGAGAAAGGAAAGGGAGTGGCTGGCACCATGTGAGAGCACTGGGGAGGTGCTGAACAGATGGTACAGTAGGAAGGAGTGACTGGAGTCATGAATTAACAGAACTGACATCATCTCTGGCCCTTAATGAGACTCTTAAGTGCCTCCCATCTTTGGTAATGATGTGCAAGTATGAATAAATAATAAGAGGCAAGCGGACAGGAGCAGTTAATTGCTGCTCCTTGGGGAAACAGATGGGACAGGAAAAGAAGAGTAAGTGTGTTAACCTGTTTGTTGGCCCCATTCATAAAAAAAACCCAGAGCAGATGGCTCCAGTTTCAGCTTGCAAGCAAAGCAAAATGTACACTTCATTCCATTGTGAAATGGTTGCTTTTGATAAGTGGGCAACTGCATGCAGGGAAAATAGTAGCTTGCCAGAATTATTGGTTGCTGTTAAGAATGGTAGAAATGAGAAAGATCTAACCAAGCAGGTTTCCCAACTGACTTGAGAAATTCAAATCTTGTTGAAATGAACAGGAGTTGCTTCAAAATTTCATTCTGGTGATGGAGACATGATGTAAGTAGCCTGTGCTATTTAGGAGAAAAGAGACGCCACTAAGACTTTTCATATGAGAGATTGAATTGTGTCTAGGCAACAGTGTGTATACCTAAACCATTCTTCTTGGACTGCCTTGGAAAATCAATTCATTTCATCTCCACTGAAATGAATTAGGATATCTCAGAGCTATTTTTGCTCAGAATGGGTTTAAATATCACACAGAGGTTTCAGTTAATATGATTAAGCACTCTGAGGTCTGAGTCTGCTTTTGGCAACAGCAAAACACCCCTGAAAGCATTTATTGGCTTTTGAATGTGCTAAAAATTGAAATTTTAAATTGTGCTCTTTTCCTGACAATTTAGGGATAGGAAAGTTTATTTCTATCTGCTCAACAAGCTTGTGAGTTAATTTAGAATAGCACATGAAAAATGGCTAAAGGTCACCTAGTGATGAGTGGATTGGGATTTGACCCCTGGTACCCTTGGAGTCTAGTCTAACACCATTCTGATCTCACTTAACCTGTTTCTATAGTGTTTGAAACCAGAATGTTTAAATTGTACTGGCAAAATATCCTCTGCAATCTTTTACTGTATGCTGATGAATGAAATTGAGATTCCCAGATAAACCAAATATTTTAAACTGGGGGATGAAGGGAAGAGGATGGGGATATTTCAGATTAAGTATGAGAGTTAAGTGTTCCCTGAATGGCTGAAAAGAGTGCCTTCAAAAAAAGCCAAGACCTGTTCATCATCTCAGAAGATGGGACATGTAGTAATGGGTTTATATTATAGTATGGCAGATTATTGTTGAATATTTGGAAATATTTCCTAACAGTTGAGGGTCTTTTGATAGTGAACAAACTATCTAGAGAGGACAAACAGAAAGACTGTGTTCTTGTAAAGAGCAAGAGTTTGGACACAGTGGCCTGAACATAAACTCCCAACATTGTCATTCCAAGTGATGTGAAATAAATGTATGAAGCCTGAAGCCTTTCAGAAAGAACACACGATAGAGACAATAATTTGTGGCATTTCTATAAATGTTCAAATGCTTCATACACATGATTTCAATAATTGCATCTTATAAGAGACATATTCAATGTATTTTGAACTGTCTTATTATTGCAAAGTGGGTAAGTACATGGATGTCCTCAGGGGAGTCAAGAGGAAGCAAATTATGAAAGATCATACTTTGTATCAAATGTTAGGATTCAAATACACAATGATGGCAGTTGTGTGATGATGTTGTGATGCTTGTCATCATTTTGGCATCGTCATGATTTGCTACAGATACTACTAGGTATGAGGACTCATTGTGCCAGTCTGTCAGTGAAGCTCATAGTAGTCATGAGATCTGAACTGAGAAAATCTTAACTCATGCTAGTTCCATCAGTGTGTGGATTTCAGAGAAAAAGTTGAGGTTTCAGTAAAATGGACCAGACCGAATAAGAATGCTGTTTCCTAGTTCCTTATTTCATAGAGTTACAGAATCGAGCTAATGAATTAGGCTTAGTAAAACCATGATGCTTCCATGTCCATTCACTCCATCATAAACTGCTAAATTGCTCATCACCCTTTAGTTTCAAGACTCATCCTAATTAAGAATTATCACAAAATTCCCAGTCAGGCATTCTTCTTCACCTGTGTCTGCGTCCTTTGCTATTTATGTACTGAGGAAAAGGGGAAATTCTCTGTGCGGCTTGTGATTTTGAACTATATGCAATCAGAGTTGCAAAATCACAAGAGCCATGTTCAGTAAATAAAACAGATCCCCCTCTCCTAAATTCTTCCTTTCAAACAGCTAAAACGGGAGTAGGCCTGAGTATGCGTGGCTCCTTTTTTTGTATAACTGGAATAATACGGAAGAATGCTCTAGGAAAGGCCAATGTATTCCCTGCAGTTGAAATCCTTAAGTTTGTATGTGTGGTGAATTTTTAAATGACCATTACTAATAAGAACTTGGCAGCTTTAATTCTACACTGCATTTTCTGGCAAAATATTCTAACCTCATATCTCTTCTGTTCTAGCAATTTGTTCTGATAAAAGACATCAAGAAGCCATCTCCCTCTGCGCCAATAACACACACACACACACACAGACACACAGAGAGAGAATTTAAAAGGTTATATTACACTGTTATGTCTGTAACTCAGAGAGCAAGAGTGTAAAGAAGCAGAGATGCCATGGATATTCATCTCTATCCATTGTATGCCTTTGTTACTCTTCCAGCTGGTGCATTGATGCCCCCAGCCCAGCCAACAATTGCTTGTTCCCATATTGCCTTTTCCTTGGGAAAAAAGAAAGAGGCCCATGGCTGATAATAGAGCTGGGGACAGCCCTGACACCCTGCCTCTTTCTCACTTGGCCTCATCACCAGCAGCTCTTGTCATTAACTTCTACTCCCTTCTGCTCCAATTTGATATCTCCATCTGTTTGGCATCCTTGTTTGCTGGGTACAGAGAAGTTGCTGGGCAAACTATGGCAACTGAATCTTGGGCAGAAATTAAGACAGCAATACCATTTGCATTTCAAGGGATCTGAAAGGTAACTAAGGCAGTTACGGGCAGCTCTGAGCTCCTTCAGAAAGAATAGGAATGCAACACAATATAATAAAATGGAGATTAATAATAATAATAATAATAATAATAATAATAATAATAATAATAATAATAATAATAATA